GGGGGGGGGGGGGGGGGGGGGGGGGGGGGGGAATCGATGGCCTTGTCCCCCGCCAAATTTTCGGCTCCTAACACACCAAGCACAGTCGGTCGTGCCATGGCAATCCTATCGAGAGAGACAGAGAGGGTGACGCCCCGAAAAGATTACGTGACGGTTGTTTAGATTGAACAATCGCTCTACTCGTCGCACCAATCACCACAGTAATCGAAAAGTATACAATACGAACAAGCTCAAGGCGACGTCGAGAGACGTCTGTTTTAAAATGTATCGGGCATCCGCACCGACCGCTTCAGCGTTGGATATCCCGCCACCAACAAAACCGAACAACACGCGATACGTCGTCCATCGTGCATCGGACGTTGCAACGACCAACAGTCTACGACATAGAGTCACACACCGACAATCACAGTAAACTATGTTGCTACGTACATGGAGAATATATCCCGCGCTCCCCCGCCAAACCCACGCAACAAATTCGAACTAGCCGATCGGCACACGCAGCGTAGAAACGATGCTGGCGACAGGCGACAGGTTTCGAGATTGTGAAGCATACGCCCCGCCAAAGGCAGGAAAAGAAGTATAAACGTTTTACGGGAAAAGCACGATTGATTGTTCGCACACCCGCGAACCCCCCGGGGTAACAGATCCTTCGGGAACAACGCCAGCATACACGACATGCAATACTTCGCACGCTCCACTCGAACAAGTTGCGCATCTTGCTGGGGCTTCTCCCCCTCGATTCGAGGCATACGCTCCGCTCATTGTTGTTAGCGACGTTGCAGGTCCCGAAAAGCAAGCATCTTTCTCTTAACTATCGAGTACGACAGTCCATATATTTATCCCCCACCACTAACATGCGACCATCATGATCACTCAAGGTGACCTCCCATAAACGACGACAAAATTGGAAAAACGAAGACAACGAGGACGAAAAGCCTAAAAATCAAACTCTCGCCCCTTGCTCGACCTATTGTAGAAATCGTACTCCAGACAAAACACGTCTCAACGCCTATCACGCGCGAAACGGTTTCGCTCTCTCCCCATCAACAGAGACATCAAGAATAACGGAGCTGAAAAACCGCTCCCATCATGTCGGTTCCAAGAACCTCGTTCATTCTTACATCGGAGACGAAGCAGAACAACCGTCCTCCCTTTTTCCCCTGACAGGACAACGTCGAGTTGCCAAAGACGGCCGGGATGCCGTACAAAAATCAGGGATGCCTCCCCCTGACATCTGGGCCAAGACGCAAACAATCCACGTTCGCACTTGCGTCATTCAAGATTTCACCTCTTGTTTTTTTCTCACCCCGCCATGATTGAACTACGGCAGCACCCTTCGGACAGAACTTGGTTCCGCGTCACGATAAGCAGGAGATCCAAGCTCCTGAACGGTAACTATCATGCAAACGTCTCTCTCCATATCAGCATACCCATGTGCTACATCGCCGTGTGTGATTTCGATCCGCCATTTTCTCCCGCCCCTGACCGACCCCCTTGCCCCTGAAAGACTGGGAACCAATAACAGCCCCGCAGAGCAACATATGTTCGGAGAACCCCCAAGCACGGAACGCGATCGCGGGTGACAGCACTCCGAGAGCTACCGGTACACCAGTGTCGTCGATGAGGCCGTTCGCCCTTCGCCTGCGGTCACGGCGTTTCAGGCGCTACAGGAACGCCCCCACCGCCCGCTGATCCCGGCGTCCTCTTCCCCTCAAACCCGAGAATGCACACGCGGATTCAAGTGGCTAGGTTGTACTGCGAGAAGTCGGCGAGGAGGGCAGTCGCCGCGAAGAAGACCACGGCGGCGGCGACGACGACGGGGGTAGCCACAGCCAAGGCGCTGCCCGCGCTAACGCCGTCAAGTTCGTCCTCGAACCCGACCGTCGGAACTGCGGTAGGCGTGTCCGAGAACACGTCTCCCCCGCGGAGACCGCCGTCGGGCCCCCCGGTCGGCGCGGCGGACGGAGCCAGCGTGTCCATGAAGCCCTCGAACGACGAGGCCGGTGTCGGTGAGGCGGTGTCACGACCCTTCGCGTTGCCACCGCCGGTGGGCGCGGCCGTGGGCGAAAACGGCAGGCCACCGCGGGAGCCAGAAGATGGAGCGCTTGTAGCAGCGGCCACGGCAGCGGTAGGCGCGGCGGTCGCTGGGAAGGGGAAAGACGGTGCGGGTGTAGGAACGGCAGCCGCCGTGGTGGTAGCGGTCGGGGACGGGGGGACGGTGGGCGGCGGCGTTTCCACCTCCGCGGGGAAGTCCGCGCAGGTGGTGAAGTCCCCGCACCCGAACGAGTCGTCGGCCACGCAGGTCAGGAACTCGACCAGCTCCTCGTTGTCGGTGTTGCAGCCGATCGCCTCGGCGGCGGCGCACACGCTGGCGTACAGGTCGTCACACAGCTCGAAATCGCCCCCGATGAGCGGGAGGTCGTTCTCCTGGAGGGCGTCCAGACATGAGCTGCACTCGTCGTCGCCCAGGCAGGAGAAGAGGTCGACGGGGCACGGGATGCCGCTGGAGAAGCCGGTGCCGAGGTCGAAGCAGGCGTTCAGGACCACCAAGGCCAACAGCGCCGTCGCGAGCTGCCTGCCGCCGCCGGTCCCGCCGGTCCCTTGCCGAGAGCTCATCGCCGTCCTCCTCGGGACCCCCCGTGACCGGTCCGCCCTTTCACCACGGCCACGGCCTGCTCGAGTAGTCATGCCGTGCTGCGGTGAGTTGGGAGTTGCCGACGGCGAGTTCAAGATTCATGCAGGGGGGGGGGGGGGGGGGGGGGGGGGGGGNGGGGGGGGGGGGGGGGGGGGGGGGGGGGGGGGGGGGGGGGGGGGGGGGGGGGGGGGGGGGGGGGGGGGGTATTATTGGTGCAACGACGACGTTGCGGAGGCGTTTTCTCCCCCGCATGTTTTTGGTTGTCCCCGCGGAAACAAACAGGGGATGAGACCATACTCCACGGTCTATATCTGGTATAATTGTTGTTAATGGTATGAACAGCACACTCATCTCACCTGCATAAGCTTCAAAGACTCAAGCGTGAAGTCCAGTAACCGGCAGATTTCCCCAAAAACTCACTAAAAATACCTCAACACATTCCTTCGAACGGGAATTGCCTCGACCGGGTACACGGTCCGTGCACAACAAAATATGGCCAAAACGCCCTCTACTCCAAGGTACGTTGCTTCTCTCGGGGTAGGGGTGGGTGTTCAGACATCTGAAAGTACCGTTAAACGTGTTGTTCTCCAGGCGCATCTTCCTAAAGCCGACTTCTGCTTGGTTCTTGTTCCTGGACATTTTTAACCGAGCAGATGAAACGAAACATCTTCAATCGTTCTTTTGGGCGGTGTCGAGTACCGTCTCAGCACCGTACCTGAACATCCCGACGGATTCAGATACCCCTTCGAATTTTCGACCTACTATGGAATTTTTCCGATTAAAGATATACTTTAATAGCTGTCGCTACAACGAGCGACAGGTGGTAGATGTAACTGTCGTCAGACGTGTGCGTCCACCACGGGAGAAGTGCGGGTGATTGCGAGGGGCACCGCAGTGTAATACAGAGCCTTTCATTTTTTTTTAGCAATTGACGGTTTTGTGCGTTAGTCTGCCGCCAGCTGCTGTGGTGTCTGCTGCCGGCGCGTCGCAGCGTCTCTCTGTCGGTTAGGCGCCCACTGTTCTGGTGTCGGCGGCTGCCCTCGCTGTTGCCTAGTGGCGGCTCTCTGCCGGTCCGCCCGCAGCCTGTGTGTGTGAGAGAGGGAGTTGTTCCCCTGAAACATCAACCCCGTCCAGCCGAGACGTGTCATGAAGAAGTCAACCGCATACTAATGATGATGCATTCACCATCATTGCATTATCAGCTGCTGAAAAGTAGATACAGATAAGTAAACTAAACTTCCGGTGCGCGCATCCGACACTGGTGGTACCATGGCACACGTCACATACGATCACCTACCAACACAAACAACACCGCCAGAGACCGTGGCTGGTGGCGCGGGCTACGCTATTCTCGGACACGGGGCGAATATCCACAGGACAAGTTGTGTGTGTTCGTTCAACATGGACGGGCGCGGGTGAACTTTCATTTTGTCACGGTTTGAAAAGGAGCTTGGTTACAGACGACCCTTGGGCCTTCAAAGCTCATCCATCTCTGCGCCTGTACATCCAAGACTCGGAACGCCCAGAGACATCCGTGCCACACCAGAGCCCTCATGATCTGAGATCAAACTGGTCAGCGGTTGTGTCTTACACACTGCCGTGGTCTCAAGCCTGGGTCGTCAGGCCGTTGATGTTTCTGTTTTCCGGATTATTGTTGGATACGGAGACCGCGGGCCGACTGATCACTCACCACAACTACCGGTCTGCTGTGTACGTACATGTCCCAACCAACCTCCACCGTCTGCACGGTCTCTGCTTTGCTCTGCACCTCAGCTGACACTGGCACGATATGGCTTGGCTGCTAGAAACTGCATCTGGGGCAGCTGGTTCGCAGCAGCAGTGTAATGTAGATTGTAATCGTCTGGAGAAGTCGATTGCTTTTTTTCTATTCGTTCAACTGCCATCGGCTCACAGCAGCTACAGCCTCTATTTTCCTGGCCGCTGTATGTTGTCGCTCGCTGTGCTCCTGTGCGTGTGTCGCTGTGCCCGCTGATTGTGTGTTGTCTGCTGTGCGTGTGTGTTCTGCACAGATGCAATAGCTGCAATCTGCTGTGCACGTGCGGTCTGCTGACCCCCCTTTAAAACCAAGTGATGTATACTGAAGTCAAAAACCAAGTTAAAGCGAACAGACACACGCACTTGCAAACTTTTTTTTCCTGACTGGAGCGGTATATGCGTAGTACTTCCTACAAGTCGTGCCGATGCGGACTCCCACACTTTTTACTGTACAGCTTTCCCAAACGACCCATGGGATCACCCATTGGTCACCCATAGGCCGCCCATGGGCACCCCGTTGGACCCACGGGCAGCCCTAATGGGCTGCCCATGGACTTGCTCATAGGTAGCCCGTGGGCAGCTCATGGGCGGCCCATGAGCAAAACCCATGGGAAGCCCGTGGGCAGCCAATGAGACCCCTTCAACCGAACCAGTGTAGAACTCCTTAACAATATATTTGCTGCATTGGAACGGGAACGAGACTATAGCGGCTAATCACCCTAACGCTAGCAATAACCCTTACCCCAAGCCCAAGCCCACACTGACGTGCTACACAAGTTGGCGCTGGTGGCCAAATTCTAGGTTGATGTGCAGGGGGCTAAGTTCAAGATTGATATGCCGGTGGGGAAGTTGTAGGTTGAAGTGCCCAGGGCGGCCCTTGTGTGACCCGTGAGTGTCCCATGGGCGGTTAAACAAAAATGTCAGTAGTGCGGTGGTACATGGGATGTGGACTGGGAGAATTTCTGGGGGAACTCCGCAGTGAGAAGGGGATTCCGTGGATCGTTTTCCGCCGACCGATAACCAGAAACGGGTATACCCGGCTACTTTATCACCACTTTAAGGTACAGTTAGAAAAATTAACACGCTTGCACCCCCAGGCTGCCAGCTGATTGGCCGAAAAAACATTGCACCCATTTCTGAAGAGACCTCCATCAGATACAACTTCCGCTGAATTATTGGTTACTGGTGTAGAGGTCAATTTTGTACCCAGAAATGGTCATATAATCCCGGCGCCCAACGCTCTAGCGTAAAACCCGCAGAAAAAAACGTGTACCGCACATACCGTGTACCACACATACATAAACCACAACCAAACCACCAACAACGCTCGCTCATACATTGTTCATGGGCACCGCCTCCAAAGGATACCGGCCCAGAGGGTCGGACTCGCTTGACGCGCGAGTACTTCGGTGTGGTGCTCATCAGAAAAAGCACAGAGAGAGAGAGAGGCACAGAGGGAGAGAAAAACGGGCACGACCTGCCTCGTGCATCATGCTTCCGAGGCACAGGACACACAGGACACAGACAGCGGTTTATTAGTTTCGCCGCGATCTACGGCGGATGCTGTCGGAGATTGGTGTCGTCTTTATTTCCAAGTGTACCCTGAAATGGTGATAATCTATCCGGGAATACCCGTTTCTGGTTACTCCTTTTTTCCGCCAGAACTGGAAAATCGTGCACTTTCTCCAAAACGAAATACATCTCCGGAGCTATCGAAGTACGTACGTAGCTCGACGGGGCGATCACGAATAGCGTTGTAATACATTTCAGTGATGGTCCGTTCGAACGTCATCGCACAAAACGTGAATGGAGAATTTGTAGCGCAAGGACCATACGGGAAACGGCATACCAGACTACTGACGCATCCTTTTCTTCAAGGGCAGACCACGTTGTTGACGCAAGTTATTTTGCCGTCGCCACGTCGCCACCGCCTGGAAATGTTGCTGGGTTGGTGTGGCTTGTTTTCACCGAGCGAGTACGGGGCGAGCGGGCGAAGGTTCCATGGCCTATGCCGACGTGGATCTCACATCAGCCTAGAATTATTCATTGTTCTGCTCCTACCGACCAGCGATGCCAGCGGAGAGGAAAGAAAGAGTCCCAGCGGAAGGAAGGGGTGGTGGTGTCTTCCGTCACATGAGTTTGACGATGTCAAATTTGCGAATCTCTCGTCTAGCTCCCAGAATGAAACAGGGTTAATCCCTGCTCTATAGGAAATACATAGCATTGCTACATGATCTCTTGTTGAGACGTGCTGCACGGTTAAGGGTATCCTTTCTGCTAGGGCTCTGGTTTATTTCTTTTTGTTTGTGCGCCGGCATCGACTCGAGTAATAAAATCACCGGCCGCCCGAAGCGCGCCGACGACACAGAATCTGTGCGTGGGTGTGAACCCCAATGGGTTGACTGGCGGCTGCTAATCGTAGGGAGTTGTATTAAAATACAGCAGACTTGACATATCTCCCTTGTCTCCACACGCGCGAGTACCCATATGGAAAGATTTGAGAACGGTCGAGAGACTCTTAACGGTTAGACATCCGAAGATCTTGGGAATGACTGCTGACTCGCGATTCGCAGGGTTGAAAGGGAGTGATTCTCCGCGAGTCCGGCAGCATCACCAAAAACAACGGAACAGCGGTGACCCAATAACGTGACTCGGCGTCAAGGTGCTCGTCCCCGTATTAATCTTGCCAGGTACACGACAAGTAGGTGTTACGGGTGTCTAAAGAAAAAGACAGCGCCGGACCCAAATTGTCACAGCACCAGCAGCACAAGAAACAGCAGCAGCACAATTCCCTTCTGGAGGTATGGCATTGAGAATGGTGCGCAAGCCGTCCGATCCCCGTCTATGGTCTCACCTCTTTAGGCTCTCCCTTCCAATGTCAGCCCCAGCAACTGTGTTTGCTCCTGTGTCTACCTCGTGGCGTGTGAGGGAATGCAATCCGAAGTACAGGTATGTAGGTCTAGAACAAAAGGCTCACATTTTATTGATAGGGGTTCAGCTGGGGTATTAAACTATTTTCGCACGAAGCGCGAAAAAAATATGAGGAGGCATGTTTTCTCAATCCGGTCGAAAATGAGAAAAACGAGATACGAGAGGGAGAATGACGTCTACTCGTCGAGATGATGCTCGTTTTCCGTACGGATTTTTGCGTTTCACTCCCTGATGTGTGTGGCTTTCCGTGATTGCGTTGGAATTCGCTAAAAGAAGAAAGTATTACAACTAAATTCGTGTATCGTAGCTACGACGTACGGGGCACTACGAAACCGCAGCAGGTCGCCGGCAGCAACAACGATTGACTCAACATGCAACTCAAGCTGCGAGTCGAAGACGCACTACGTCCTGCAGCAGTCCCTACGGCGGAGCGTCTGGATGTGAATTTTAGTCGTTGAAGTGGGGTTGGCGCAAAATGCTTCCGCGTTGATCTTTATTCGCATTAAGCACAGAAAGACAAACGATGGATGAAAGCGCAACGGCCGCTCGATGTCCCCGTGCGTGTCAGTTGGTAGAGTACTGAGCCCTGATGATAGCAGCCTAGTCTACCCTCCCGTACAGGTTCGAGTTCACGGTCGACCATGGAAGGCGACGGCTGAACTCTTGTCGCGTCCAAAAGTGAAGTAGTAAATGGTGAAGGAAGGCGAAGAAAAGCACACGAAAGCTCCTGTTGTGTGTAGCCTTCCTCCTTCTTCATGACCCCGGCTGATGATGATGCGTCAAGAATACCGGGACGTGTAAAAAACACACACAATTGCAAATTAGACTAAATGGGACGACGGACACAAACAAACACAAAGCCGGTTAGCGCGGTCGATGCTAATAATAAAAGCAAACACACGCACGCAGTTCAAGAGCAGAAACAAAATAAGCACAAACTCGCACACTCCAAGAAACAACGTTCTTCACACGCAGCAAATTCTCGCCTACAAAAAGCAGAGGAGTGTCTCTTGTCACATCCGAATCTACACGATGACTACAAAACCAACGTGGTATGTTTTCCTCTTGTTTCGTCTTTCGCAGCTGCTTGCCACCACCGTTGCCCCCC